CTAACGGGAGTTGGGATTGAGGTGTGCCGTCGTCGAGGGGTGTAATGCCGCAAAATGCGAGGCAGGTGCCCTGGACTCGCGACAGCACACCGAACACACTAAGTAGATCTTAAAGCCTCAATCCCAAGCCCCAGCCTTATGAACCCTTATGAACCCAGATCCCAAAAAGCCGCATCGCAGGACCAAAGCATGGGCAAAGGGGGCGGGGAGAAGGGAGGCGCGCACGGGGAGACTCGAGGAGCATCTGCTAGGGTTGAAGGCGTTGGATTCGTAAGCTTTACGACTTAGGGTTTCGGGTTAGGGCCAAGGGCTTGCAAGATTTATTGTCAAAACCTAAATCCGAAACCAGGAATTCAGGCTTTAGGCTTAGGAAGAGTGTGGATACTTTCGACTCAGCTGGCTTGTTGTAGGTCTTGGGGGCTCTGGGCCTCGGTGCACCCTCATCCTGCCCTCACCCTTCTATGTAAGTACAACGCATGAACCCTAGTATCCCGCACAACCCGTACCCTTAAACCCTACACCCTTCAACAAGAAAGCCCTGCAACAGCGATCCCCAAACCGTAAACTCCAAAACTCCCGCAGGCTCTCAGCCCTTGCCCTGTGTAGGCGAGAAAGGAAAGGGAAAGCCTGCTGGGCTCCTTGGCTGCATAGAAGGAAATGGCCTTGAGCCAACGACTTCGGTTGTAAAGCAACCTCACTAGAGGCCCTTGTGCCCAAATAGTATATACTTGGGCCTTAAAGTCGGCCATATATAGGTACTTTGGGGCCAAAGTAGACGCGTTTGGGTACGTGGACCCTTACGGTCTGCTTTGTTTCATACCAGTGTCCAGGGTTTGTTGGGTTTGGGGTTTAGGGTTTGTCATATTTTCGGATTCTAGATGTAAGCTAGGATATCCAAGCAAAGTGTTACTCTCCTAGGTCTGAGTAGATGGGTTTAGGGGCAGGGTTAGGGTGTAGTTCCGAGCCAGGCAGGGTCAGCAGATCAGTATCTGCATCATGTAAAACGGGGATTCAAGGCATAAGAACGGACGAACCTCGAGTAGGATTCAGAAGGCAAGGCTCAGGGAACTTAAAATCTGTGGGCTTCTCGGGGTTTAGGGGTTTAGGGAGCAAGTGCTGACCAAAAAAGTCTTCAACAAACTTAAGCCCTTGACTTCCTGGAGCAGCCCTAACACCGAAATCCCCGAAGCTGAAACCCCGAACAACAAATGAAGGCGCCGTAACAAGCTGTAGTACCATACCCGCATGTTTCGTATTCATCATTCTAGGTGCCTATACCCCAAAACCCTGTTCGAACAGCTCGGACCCCTGCCTACATTGAGAAAAAGCTTTGCCCGCATGGTAGAAGTCACCGCTTGAGACTGGCTAAGTCACAGAGTCGAGGAGTTTGCCTTGAACATAGCTGGGACGAAAAAACTCCAACACAACAAGCATCCAAGCGGTTAGTTTGTGTTGGCCTGGGACCTCCGTCATTACGATATCGGTTTACGGATGTAGTGCTTAGGATCCAGGGTGTTCGCTCTGTTCGACGGTGGTGAGTTCGGTCTCGTGTGGTTGGAGCCTACATGGTCTGAAGAGCTTCATGAGCCACACAGTGATGTGGGGTCTTGCTCAAGGTGCTCCAGAACTGATATATAGAGAGCTCCCATTAACCTGAGCTTGCCGCAAACCTAAACGTTTTGAACTACGTATGAGCCAAAGAGGTCAGAGTTCACAAGTGCCCAGCTAGGCTTTACGGCTAAAGGTCCAGGGGGTCAGAGCCAAGGGTTGGGTTTCCCGGTTTACCGTTTAGAGCCGAATCAAAACGTGGAGCCCAGAAGGCTGCAATTATGTTGCTCCTTGGCCCTGGAAGGAAGGGCGGCAAAGGTAAGAAAGGAGATGCGGCCATCGCACAGAAAGAGCCTGGTGCCCGGACATGCCCCCAATCAAGTCCCACAACCTCATTATATAGTTGTCATCATTATTATAGTGGCAATAAAGATCATAGCCACCATCATCACCCTTCACCCATCATCCAGCATCTGTCGTTCAAAAGGTTATCGAACCTTTTTTACCATTGCTCGAACAAGTGCTATACCCAGAAAATACCGCTAACTTGGGACTTGGGCGCAGGGTTTCCGTGATACCGTACAAAGGCCTGTGTTTTGCCGCTCACCTACTTGGAACTCTGGCTTGGCTTAGATTAAACTTACCTATAGTTGCTGCGTAGCTCTATGGCCAAAATGATGTCGATGCATTGGAACTCACAATGGAACCAGACCCCATAAGACCTGGAAAATCAGCAGCGAAATTTCCGCGAGCTTCTCCTGAAGCTCTCAACCACCAACCTTGAAGCCTTTTACTAAAGCCCTAAACCCTGAAACCTTAAACCCCCAAACCCGGAAGCCCCTGAACCCTAACCCCTAAGCCCCTGAATCCCAAAAAACCCGAAACGGTGCCCGAGGCCCGGGCCCAATGCTCCTCCAGTTCATGCCAGGGCCCTAGAACTTGGGCTTGGGATTGGGGGCTTGGGATTATAAGGGTTCCTGCAATTACAGGGCCGTATAAGTTTGACAAGGGTACGATAAGGGTACTGTCAGGGCTTGGGGGCTTAGGGTTTGGTTTAGGGTTTGTTTAGAGTCTACGGTTCAGGGGTTTGGGTTTGGAGGTTGATGTGGTTCAGGGCATTCAGTGCTTTCGGTTCGGGGCAGAGGAGCCCGCTAAAAGTCCCTAGAGGAACCTGTGTCTATAAACCCTAAACCCCTAAACCCCTAAACCCTAAACCGGAACCCTCCACCTCTCCGAAGCCCTGGGTCAGAGTTTCCGAGTTTGCCCGTTGCTGGCTTAGTTCAAGGACAGGGCAACCTTCGGGGATTCAGGTTTAGGGTTTAGGGGTTGAGGGTGAAGGGTTCAGGGGCCAGTGTTTGTTTTCAGCGTATCTTAGACGGCAGCGCTGCTTTGGGTTAAAGTTAAGACGAGAGCACAACAACACAACTGGCAAGACTTCCCTTGCAAGGGCAAGGTCGTCAAGATACTACGGGAGCCTTCTGTTCTGTTCTGTGTTGGGCATTCGGTCTTCGGGCCACCCGTGTTGGGTGACGCGGGGAAGTGCGCCCCAAAAATCTGTGCATTAAATTCAACTGTGACGGGCTTCCTCACCCCTGAGCAGAAATTGCATTGCATGTGCACTAGGGGGAGGGCCCGAGGTGGGGGATTTACCCAGCAGGTCAAGCCAAAAGCTGTCCCCCAACCCAAACTTAACATGAACGCAGCTCCTGGCAGTTGCCAGCGACGCTGCGTGGGGTTAAACGCTCCAATGCACTCGCAGATAATCCGCGGCGCAGAAATCTAAGGTTCGAGGCTAGAGGGATTTAACCGGCCGAGCTCAGCCCGAAAAGCCGTCCCTGATTCGCCATGAAACAAAACCAAAACAGCAAGTGGCCCTCACTGCACCATGAATAACCACGTATGCAACGAGGGGACACCGCGTAAACCTTTGACTAGAAGCTCGTGCCACCACCTGGGTCAAAACAGGCATGATGGCAGGGATACGATGGCACAAGATTCACGCAGAACTCAGTTGTACCAACCTTCAAGGATCCGTCAAACCGCTGTGGTGCAGTCTTGCTCATGCAATAGTCTAGCACCCCCCAGCTTTCCAGCAAGCTGGGCGACTTCTGCGAGCCCTGAAACCCCATGCAGCTGCCAAAGAGCTGGCCGACTCGACCAAGGATCGATTCCGCGATCTTTCCCACACTCGCATACCGTCCACGATCGAAGTTCTGTGCTGCAGCCTTCTTCTTCGCAAAGATCGGCTCAGGGAGGAAGCTTTCACCAGCAGTAGTGTCACTAAACAACATGTTGGAGGAAACAGTCCCATCACCAAGATTGTCAAAAGGCAAATGGCCGTTGCGATACGTACCATGGCCGAGGCCGAAGAGGTTCCAACAGACAGTGCCGATCCCTGACAGTGGTTCCCTGCCGTGCACGCCCTTTGCACCAAGATCGATTAAGTGCGGGAAAGGATACCTGCGACCGTCCGTCGCATCCGTATCCTCCGTGTGCGTGGAGTGCAACACTTCTTGCTTTGCAATGGGCTCCCAAACGCCTCGCCAACATGCCGAACAGCAGATGTCATCGGAGAGCTTTGTGTAAAGTTGCCTGCCACAGCTGCGGTAAGCAAAAGCATCACCGATGGCTGAATTGCTATGAGGCTCCTCCTGCTCACCAGTGTATTGATCGCGCAGCTGTGCCAGCTTGGGGCCAGACAGCTTCATGATACCATACCCAACCGTCTGCTGCAGGAAAAACTGTTCAGCAAAACGTTTTATGTCCGACCGCCTGTGGTAAAGCTCGGTTCCCAACCGTAGTTGCAAGGCATGGCGGAGAGCGCGCAGCGACATAGGCCCTTGCTCAAACAAATAAGGACTGACCTCGACGACAGCAGAGTAAAGAGCTGCATCTGTAACCGCTGCCGTATCTAACACACCGACGTGCTTCTGTTCCCAACCAGTGTCCATGGCAGGGCCACAAAACGTGAAGCACTGGGGCCTACAGCAATCGCTCGCTGGTGAGCGTTTTCTGGGCCCTCTACGGGAGCCTTAATAATTAGAATAGGGTTATGGGCTTCATTATACTAGAATCATAGTAAGGAACCTCCAGAACCCTATTCTAATTATTTAGGCCCCTGTAGTACTTCGACAAGAAGGAACCTGTCCATCAGAGAATACGTCGCTGTTCGATGTACATCGGTTGTTCCAAAGGTCTAGCATTCTGCGGTTTGGGATTTTTTTAGACTCGGTTTTAAGGTTTAGGGGGGTTTTGTTTCTTGGGACCCAGTTTGCGGGTGACAGCATGCACAACTTTGCTACGAATAACACAAACTCTGACCGGCTAGCGGCTAGAGCTGCATCGCTGGGTTCTCGGGATGTAGGGTATGCACGGAGCACGAGAACGCTCGAAGACGCGAGGGCAAGGTGATCCTTTGCAGCTGCTAGCTGTTGAACACAGCCACGCCTGCCATGGCCACGATGCTTCTTCTGGAGAAGCACACAGGATGCTCCTGTGGCAGTGTGGCAGGGCGGGATTCTTCGAAAACTATCACAAGTCACTTCTTATGCGAGGGTGAAGCTCAAGCAGCTGGCCAACTCAACGCAGTTCTGCGCCGCCCCACATCGGTGATGTCTGACCTCTCTGCAGAGGTGGCAGAGGTGCGCTTTTCACTTGCTGCCCGAGTTGGCGCATGAACTCCTGTAGGGCCCTTGGTCATATAGTCATTAGCTGGCACTTTACCTAAGTTGCAGAAAGTATGTAAAATTGGCCCTGGACCTATAAAAGGCTATGGTTCTACATACTTTCCGGGGTCCAGGTAAACTATCCCTCACACCGTGCGGGTAACATGGGCCACTAACACACTGTTTTTGCGACCTGATTCCAAAATCCTGGCAACGTTGTTAGGCGTGGTGATATTGTTCATCAGGGTTCGTCTTGGGGTTCAGGTCTCGGGCTCATAGGAAAATTGTCTAAGGCTCCTTTTGCACTGAACGCCTCCGGAAAGTTCATGTCAAGGTGGTCCATTATCCTCATGGAAGTGGAACATATATATACATATATATAAATATAAATATATTCTGTACCATCTTTGTGACAAACCTTCGAGGAGATTGAGAAGCACATCGATGAGCGGAACGAGGTTGCCCGGGAGGGAGGAAATTCAGCGCTTTGGAGTCGAAAGACCAGCGAATCAAATTATGTCATTAGGTCTGCAGGGGGTGCCGGTGCTCATTCTTGAGACCCCTCTACCAATCAAGAAAGCCTCAGTTCTATTCCCTGTAAAGCAATCCAGGTTCCCTGGTTACCTACCTATGGGCTCCAGTGTAGTTCCTTACGATCCTATAAGGTAATCACGAAAAGGAACTACAATGAACCCCAGGCGTCGGCTTCAGTGCTTCGAGGGTTTAAGCTTTTACCTGCATGATCTTGTGAGTGTGCGTTGCCGGTGTCAAGTTTGCGTAGGGCTAATCGTGTTCTCATCAGCCAGGATTGTATTGTGGTGTTGCTATTCGGCTTCTTCACGTCTTGTCGGTGCTGCTCAGGCCCCACGCAGCGAACCCGTGCATATCCATGTGTCATCTATCCTTGTTGTCGGCAATGTGCAGGTCCATACTACGTGTACTGTTGCTGCTTCTTGTCCAAGCTGTTGTTGGCATTTTGGCTTTGGAGGGTATTCGACGTCATCACAACATCTTTCTTGGTCATCGTGGTGTTGGAGGCGGTGGAGATGATGAACAGGGTTTTCGCAGCCCTTGCCGTCAGACAAGTAACTACTAGGGGTATTCGTCATGAAAGTCCAAGAAATAGCCACGACACTGCAGGAGAGAACAAGTATTGGCCACAGAGTTTACAGCCATACTCAGTCGTGGAAAGTATAGGAGCGAACAATCCGCTCCATCACCATTATCTCTTCAGAGCGTGAAAACTGGGGGGCTCGTTCCGCTCTGGTAGGTCTACAAAGGAGCCAGGAATCCTGAGTCGTCTCATGTGTGTGTTCAGGGGGGTTTTCGGGTTTAGTGGTTTAGTGCTAACGGGAGTTGGGATTGAGGTGTGCCGTCGTCGAGGGGTGTAATGCCGCAAAATGCGAGGCAGGTGCCCTGGACTCGCGACAGCACACCGAACACACTAAGTAGATCTTAAAGCCTCAATCCCAAGCCCCAGCCTTATGAACCCTTATGAACCCAGATCCCAAAAAGCCGCATCGCAGGACCAAAGCATGGGCAAAGGGGGCGGGGAGAAGGGAGGCGCGCACGGGGAGACTCGAGGAGCATCTGCTAGGGTTGAAGGCGTTGGATTCGTAAGCTTTACGACTTAGGGTTTCGGGTTAGGGCCAAGGGCTTGCAAGATTTATTGTCAAAACCTAAATCCGAAACCAGGAATTCAGGCTTTAGGCTTAGGAAGAGTGTGGATACTTTCGACTCAGCTGGCTTGTTGTAGGTCTTGGGGGCTCTGGGCCTCGGTGCACCCTCATCCTGCCCTCACCCTTCTATGTAAGTACAACGCATGAACCCTAGTATCCCGCACAACCCGTACCCTTAAATTTAGGGGCTGCGCCCAGGTGCGGGCAGCGCGAGCTGTTGTCAGAAACCCGCGGTATATAGATAAGTGCAACGTAGGCCCGAAGTGCGCAACTTGTGGGTGATCGTAGGCTCTCAGCCCCCGTCGGCCCTGCATGTAGCCCGCACCCCCCGTCCGCCGGACCCCGCTGATGCTCATGATGCGCGCCCTTTGGCGGCTTCCGCAACCCACTCAAAAACTTGGGAGTTATGACTTCGCGCCCACGTCGCGCCGCCGGCGCCGGTTGCGGGCGCCCGAGGGCTCATGATGCTCGCCGGCTCGCCTCCTGGGGTCGTCCACGGCGGCCCCGAAACCCGCCACACCGCGGGGAATGGCTGCAAAACGCGTGCGCGTTCCGAGACGCCTTCGGGCCAGGCCCCGCGCGGCCCGAGGGAGAAACGAGGGTCCGATGATGCGGGGTCCGGGGCGGGTCGGCGGCACTGTCGGTCGTGGCTTCTGCTTCGCAGACGAAGCTCATTCGTCTGAGCCATAGCTCAGTCCATACAGGGCAGCGAAGCGCTGCCCGATTTAAGAGCCTCCGGCTCAAGCCGCCGACCCCGTGGGCGACAGACCAGAAGCCGAATGCACTTGTACAGGCAAAGTCGTTTGGTGTCCGCGAGGCCCGTAGGTTTAGTTCTAGAAGGAGCCTTAAACCCTAAAGGAACAAGAAAGACACATTCTTGGCGACGAGCTCGAAAAACGGGCGCCAGTTTTTGTGCGCCAGTTTTGAGCCGCTACTCGCAGTCACAGTGGTCCTAAACCCTCAAGCCGACAAGCTTCACTGGTGCGCTTCTAAGATTGTGAGACTAAACGGGAACCTTCAAGTTGACAAGCTTCGCTGGTGCGCTTCTAAGATTGTGAGACACAACGGGGGGAAGAGGCGGAAGCACGCGAGGCTGCGCGACGATCACGCGAAGTAGGAACAAGGAGCACTTTGGAGCGGAGATGCCAAGGTTGAAGGGCAAGGCGGGTTGGGGGAAAGGGGGGGGAGGGGGGCAGGGGGAGGGGGCGGAGGGGGGGGGGCCCCGTGCCTTGGACGCTTCGCGTCCATTTGACGCAATAGTGGTTTCCTTATAGGAAGCCTTATACTAAGCCTCATACATTTCCATCAACATTCTGGTGGTCGTGGTGGCGGTGGTCGCGGTGGTCGTGGAGGTCGGGGTGGTCCTGGTGGTCCTAGTGCTGCTGGTGGTCGTGGAGGTCGTGGAGGTCGTGGAGGTCATGGAGGTCGTGGTGGTTGTGGTGGTCGTGGTGGTCGCGGCGGTTGCGGTTGTGGCGGTGATGGTGATGGTTGTGGTTGTGGTTATGGTGGTGGTTGTGATCGTGGCCGGGGTGGTTGTGGTGGTTGTGATCGTCGTGAACGTGGTGGTCGTGGTGGTCGATGATGATCGTGGTGGTGGTGGTGGTGGTGGCCGTGACGGTTGCGCGGTGGTGGCGGTGGTGGCGTTTGTAACGGTGGTGGCTGTGGTGGCGGTTGTGGTGGTGCTGGTGGTGGGGGTGGTGGTGGTTGTGGTAGTCGCGGCGGTCGTGGCGGATGCGGTTGTGGGGATGGTGGTGGATGCGAATTGTGACAGTCGCGGTAGTGGTTGTAGCAATGGTAGTGGTAGTGGTAGCAGTAGGGGGTACTGGGTAGGGGTAGTGGCAGCGGTAACCCGGCAGGGGAAGTGGTAATGGAAGTGGTCGCGGTAACGGCAGGGGACACAAGGGCTTTTCACTTGATTTTCCTTTGGTCCGATTTGGCTGTAAGCTGGGCAGGCGCTCTCTGCAATGTTGATGATAACGATGATGATAATGACAATGGTGATAATGACAATGGTGATGATGATGATGGTGGCGATGGTGATGGTGATGGTGATGCTGATGCTGATGCTGATGGTGATGCTGATGGTGATGGCGGTGATGATGGTGATGGTGATGGTGATGTTGATGGTGATGGTGATGGTGATGGAGATGGTGATGTTTCTGGTGATGGTGATGCTGATGGTGCTGGTGAGGGTGGTGGTGGTGGTGATGGTGGTGGTGATGGTGGTGATGGTGATGATGATGATGATGATGTTGATATTGAAAATGATGCTGATGTTGATGTTGATGATGAGAAGAAGAAGATGATGATGGTGATGGTAATGATGGCGATGGTGATGGCGCTGATGGTGATGTTGGTGATGATGATGACGATGATGATGAGGATGAGGATGCTGATGATGATGATGATGAGATGATGACGATGATGATGATGATGGTGAGGATGATGATGAGATGACGATGACGATGATGATGATGACGATGACGAAAACGATGTTGATGATGATGCGGATGATGATAATGATGATGATGATGTTGATGATGATGATGATGATGATGAGATGATGATGATGATGATGAGATGATGATGATGATGATGGTGATGATGAGGAAGAAGAAGAGGATGAGGATGAGGATGAGGATGGTGATGATGATGATGATGAATGATGATGATGATGATGCTGATGCTGATGCTGATGCTGATGCTGATGCTGATGATGATGATGATGTTGATGCTGTTGCATTGCTGTTGCTGTTGATGTGTGTACTTTACACAGATCTCGTTATAGCATAGACTTTATGTCGCGAAACCGCCGCGCATCGACAGCAGCCGGGCAACAAAAAGACGCAACAAGAACAACAACGGCAACCGCAATAGCAGTAACAACAGCAGCGACAGCAGCAACTGACAGCAACGACAACCGCAGCAACAACAGCAAGGAGGTGGCGCGCAGGATGTTGTGTAAAACGCGAGGTAAACGCAATGTCGCAAGAGTCGTCGCTGTTGCTGTTGCCGTTGCTGTTGATGCTGTTGTTCTTCGCTGTTGCTGCTGTTGCTGCTGTTGTTGTTGCTGCTGTTGTTGCCGTTGTCGCTGCTGCTGTTGATGCTGCTGTTGCCGTTGTTGCTGTTGTTGTTGCCGGTGTGTCGATCCTCGTAAACTACAGGGTAAAATCCCAGCCCAGCCAATAATGCCTTTGGATCACTGTCACTCCTGCGCCCCAGCGCTCCATCGCCCCAGCGCTCCAGCGCCCCAGCACTCCAGCACCCCAGCACTCCACCCAGCGCCCCGGCGCCCCAGCGCTCCAGCGCCCCAGCGCCCCATGTGCTCCAGCGCCCCAGCGCTCCAGGGCCCCAGCGCTCCAGCGCTCCAGCGCCCCAGCGCTCCAGCGCCCCAGCACTCCAGCGCCCCAGCGCTCCTGCGCTCCAGCGCCCCAGCGCCCCAGCGCCTCCAGCGCTCCAGCGCCCCAGCGCTCCAGCGCTCCAGCGCTCCAGCGCCCCACCACTGCACCGCTCCAGCCACCCAGCGCTCCATCGCCCCAGCGCTCCGCGCTCCGCGTCCCAGCGCTCCAGCGCCCCAGCGCTCCAGCGCCCCAGCGCCCCAGCGCCCCAGCGCCCCAGCACCCCAGCGCTCCAGCGCCCCAGCGCCCCACCCAGAGAACCCAATAGACCTTAATTAAGAGTTCAGCCTTTAATTAACTTAATGAGCGCTTAAAAGCACCCTTAATTAGAGACTATAGTGCTTAATTAAAGACTATAATCCTTAATTAAAGAAGAAAACCATTCTTAATTAAGGTAGTAATCCTTAATTAACGACAATACGCCTTAATTAAAGAAGACAACTTTCATCCTTAATTAAGGAAGATTCGACGTGAGGTGCGGCATGGCAAGTTGCATGTTAAGTTCATGAACTGCGGGCATCTTGTTTAAGGAAACAGGTGTAGGGAGGACTTGAATATTTTATGCCCTTCGTTAAGTATGAAAAATTCACATGCGGCATTCTGTTTAGGGAGCATGTGTTCGGTGTCGTGGGAATATATCAATGTACATGTAGTATGCCATACAGATATCGATCCATGCACATGCATGCAGTCATGCATCCTACTATATGATATATGTATATATATATATATATATATATACATATATATATATATGCAAATGCATGACTCATCGATATCGGCTTCAGATTGCATAGAAACTCCACATGCGGCATTCTGTTTAAGGAGCATGCATGTCATGGTATTATAAAATCAAAACCATGCATGCCATGTATATATGTATCATGATGATTATAAATGCATGCATGTACATATATATTGAAGCCTTGCATTTGCAGCACCGTAGATTTCAAGGAGGGCACTCAGCCCATCCTTTGAAAAGACACCTGCAGGTGTCTCGCCCAGGAGGAATAGTCCCTCCTCATGCATGATCATGCCAGCATTATCATGTAGGAATCGTGCATGCATGCATGGAAAAAGAACAATGCATATGTGTTGTGCATATATGATATCGAAATCATGCATGCCTAGAAAAAGCTAGCTTAAAAAAACAGCAGCTGCAAAACCAACTTTGTTCTTCGACTTCGCATCATGCGTCGCAGTGCATGCCATGCATGCATCGTGCCTGAACTGTCGATAAGACACGATGCATGCTCACCTCTGGCATGCAAGCTCGCTTTTGAAATCTGGACATCATGTGCTGGAGCCGCCATGCACGGCGGCCTTCCATGAATATATAACTATATTCGAGCCAACATGCATGCAGAGTTTCGACATTCAAGCTGCAGGCTTGCAAAGGCCATGCCTGCATGCATGCGCATGCATGCATGAAGCTTTCGATCTCTCATTTTTTCTGCACGGGCGATAGGCATATCAAAGCACAGGC